ACTTCCGCTAGCTGACCTGCAACTGGATCAGTTCTTGGGTCGCAGTTGTAGGAGTCGTAGGAGAAGGGCCTGCTTCCTAGCCTTTCATGCCAAGGGTTCTCTGTAGCTTTAGTGAAGAAGAATGAGTTTAGTGTGTGGGCAGTAGAAGACAGGGGCCAGGTTATGCTCTGGTGATGCCCTGAGCTCATGCAGAGAGGCAAGAACCAGGGAGGGGATGTGGAGAGCACAGGTACTCCCCAAACTCTGTACCAGTGGCACTGGCCCACCCTGTCCCTTGCCACAGCTCGATTTTTGTCATCCCCTGAGAAGAGAAGGCGAGGACAGCTGCACAGATGTTCATCTCCAGGGAAGCTCCCAGGCCTGACGGGCTTTGTGCCTGTCTCACCCTCTCTGCAGGCGCATCGTGGACTTCTTCCTCATTGTCACTCAGCTGGGATTCTGCTGCGTCTACTTTGTGTTTCTGGCGGACAACTTTAAACAGGTAGAGTTCTTCTGAAAAAGTGGGAAGGGCGAGAGTCGAGTGGAGATTTGGTCCAAGGCTCCTTCCAAGCCAAATGCTTTGGATCAAACCTTTGGTGTTTGATTCTCGTCTCAGCACCTGTGATGTAAAGAGATCTTGCCTTGCCTGTGTTACCACCAGCTGACCTGAGGTCCTTTTTGTAGTAAAAAATATTACATTTTAATATGCCTTAGACAGCACAATAGCTGGGCAGCTGCCTGCCCTCCATGCCGTTAGAATCTGCCTTCGATAACTCTGATATCATTTACTATGTTTCATCTGAGGTGCTCTTAGTCCAACTGGTGGCTCTCCTCCCTCTACTCATTTTTCCTTTATTCTGTGGTGTCTTTTTCCTCCCTCCCCCTCCTTATGGGATCTCCCTACCCCTAGACCTGCAAAACCTCAACCCTACCTGTGTCTCTTCTACCCAGCTATTGGCTGTTGGCATCTTTATTCACCAATCACAATTAACTTGAGGGCCAGGTCACGGGGGCTACCTGAAGACTCCAGGTCTTGGGAGCCTGCACTTCGCATTACAATAGACAGTAAAAGACAGAACCTCAACACCTTTTACCCAAGGAGAAGAAGCTCTTCCCAGGTTGGTCTGGGGTAGCTTTGTATTTATTTATTCCTGGGTAGCATGCAGGAGGAAGCTGCAGCAGGTGGTGCTGTCTTTGTTCTCCTCTGGAAGCCTTCGGTAATGGGACCTTTGTCATGTGTCAGTTGTCATTTCTCTACAACTACTGGGCAGGCTTAAGTGTCAAGTTGCCTCAGCCCTTGACAGAAGCCAGGGTTATATCTCCTAGACATGGAGTGTCTGAAACCCTTGTCCCTAAAGGCTGTGGAGTTAAGTCTATGCCCTCGATCCCTAATAAGCCAGCTACAGCCACCTGTCCTTGATAAGTCAATCAAAAGAGCAGGATTGATAATGAAGATCAGGAAAAGACTTCTTCAGTGTAACCTCACTGGGAGGAAGAATTCATGGACCCACCAAGTGCATCTTCAGGGGCCTGACAGGAGATGAAGTTTAAATAGAAGGAAAACGATAGCTGGTCAAAGTGTGGTCCTGCCCATCACTGGCCCATTGCTGTCTCCACTCCAGTCTCTCCTGCAAAGTGGTTTGACAGGCTGGCTTGTTGGCACTGTGTATATTCCCTCCCCTTTCCAGGAGACTAGTTCCACATCTGGCTGGCACCAGGTTTCCTTCCTTCAGTATGGTATTCCTAGGGGAAATTCCAAGTGTCTAGGGTGCCAGAGTCCAGATAGCTGGAAGGAAGGACTTGAATGTTTCTTTGGAGTGCATCCCTTCATTTCAGGCATCCCAAGTATAGATGGGTCAGGGCCCGCAGGCTTTTCTCTTGGCTTCCTGAACATCAGGAGTGCTTAAGACAAGGGTGGGAAGAACTTACCATTAAATTCCCCCTATCATCTGTCTCCTGTGGAACATAGTCAAACCCAGCTCAGACAGTTTGCAACAATGAAGACTCAGCCTTCCAGAGGGGCCTACATCTAATCCCAATTTCAGACACCTGATCCTCTTTCAGGACCCTCTCCAGCAAGATACTCACCTGCTCTGTCACTCAGGGCTTCTCCTTCCTTCTGGTTTCAGGTGATAGAGGCGGCCAATGGGACCACTACCAACTGCAACAACAACGAGACCGTAATCCTGACGCCCACCATGGACTCTCGACTCTACATGCTATCCTTCCTGCCCTTCCTGGTGCTGCTATCTTTCATCAGGAACCTGCGTATCTTGTCCATCTTCTCCCTGTTGGCCAACATCAGCATGTTCGTCAGCCTGATCATGATATACCAGTTCATTGTCCAGGTAGGAGCCCAGGCCCTACTCCGTCCTGTGGAATAGGAGAAATAAAATGGAAAGATCACAACACTGCCTACATGTGGCATATTTAGATGAGATGTTACATAATTTCCTGAGGAGATGGGAACAAATGTTTACTCCAGATAGGCCTCCAGTGACAGACCAAAGGAGTTGCTCCACCTAGGTCTTTCAGTTTATGTGTTTTATAACATTTTTCTTGAGCTTTTAATTCGTTGGTCTTGTTTTAGAGTTAAGCTGAGTTGATAGTTTGCAAGCTTCTTTGTACAGGGAACTCTGTACTTTATTGGTTGAGTTGTAGGCCAGCGTGGTCAGCGTCACTTATTTGATGGGATGATGGCTGACCTGCTCACCTGTCTCAGTCACGTAGCATCCATATCTGTGAACTGTGAAACTCCCCGCTCACAGCTCCATCTGATTGATGGACAAACCTGGTAGCTGTCAGTCACTAACCCATGGGTAGCACCTGTTCTAGTTTCATCCATGACTCCGGAATAATTACTACGTGAACTTGTGCTCAGGTCTCACGTTACAGCGGAGACACCTACTTGTCTACATCCCGCATACTAAAATGCTTCTTCTTTTTCTTTAAGAATAAAGTTTAAAAACATTAATTATGCATATATGTGCGGGTATGTGTGTATGAGGACATGAGCCGTGGAGATCACAAGAGGGTGTCTGATCCCCCTGAGGTCACGTAACAGTAGAGAGGTACTCAATGTAGGTGCTGGGAATTTGGTCGTCTGCAAGAGCAGTATGTATCCCTAACAACTGAGCCACCCCACCCTAAGCTTTGACTTTCATGTTTAAATATATTCATTTTGGTACCTTTCCTCAGCATTTCTCAGCATTCTACTCATGTGCCTCTTGATGTTTTTAAAGTGCTCAGTTTCTTTTATCTCTTGAGTTTCTTTTATATCACATGTCTGGGGATGATATCACCAAGTGAGGGAGCGTGAAGCTTTATGCAGGCATCAGCATGTGAGAGGTTTGTGGTCTATTCGGCAGATCTTTATCCAAAGCAAGTGGGGACTTCCCGACTGGAGGAGGGAAAAAGGCAGACTGCCTCCATCCTATCTGTGTCAGCCTCTTCCTTTTCTGAAATCTTGGATTTAGGAGAAGGTGTGTTCTGACTGGTTCTTCAAAGCCCAGATCTCTGACTAGTCCTTGGCTTTGCTCATCTTTTCCAGAGGATCCCAGACCCCACCCACCTCCCCTTGGTGGCTTCATGGAAGACCTACCCACTGTTCTTTGGCACGGCGATTTTTGCTTTTGAAGGCATTGGAGTGGTAAGAAGGGTACTATGGCTTGGGCCTGAGTGCTCCCTGTGGGCCTGAGTGCTCCCTGCCACCACCACCCCAACCTGTTGTCCTCACTGACTTTGCCTTAGTGCTCAAGAAACCCCATCAAAAATTATCTCTTGAGTTGGATGCGGTGGCCTATGCCCCTGGTCACAGCACTCAGGAGGTGGGTGGGGGAGTATCAGGTATTTAGGCTGTCACTGGCTACAGCTAGTTTGGGGAAAGTATACTTGGAGGTCTGGCAATAGAGATTCTATTTTTTTTTTTATGATTCTGTGTATGTGTGCATTCATGTATGTGCTTTTGTGTGTGTGCATGCATGTATATGCTTGTGTGCATGCATGTGCATGCTTTGTGTGTGTGTATGCATGTGTATGCTTATGTGCATCCATTTGTGTGCTTTGTGTGCATGCATGTTGTGCTTTTGTGTGTGTACATGCATGTGTGTGTTTTTGTGTGTGTGCATGAATGTGTATGCTTGTATGCCTGCGTGTGTGTGTGTGCTTGTGTGTTTGGAGGCCAGAAGTCAGCATCAGCTGTCTTCCCTGGGCACTCAGTTTTTGGGGATGATGTCTCTCACCGAACCTAGAATTCTTGGCTTCAACTAGACTGTTGTCTGTGGGTTCCATTGATCAGTCAGTCCTCCCACCCTAATCCACCTCTGCTAGGTGCTAGGGTTACAGATGCATGCCACCACACCCAGCTTTTTTGTGGGTTCTGGGCATCACATATATGCATAGCAAGTACCTTAGTGGCAAAACCATCTTCCCAGTCCCCTGATAATGCTATTTTTGTCAGGTGTTCACTTTTTTCTCACATGCTCACCTTCTCTTCCTACTTTTTTATAGGTTCTACCCCTTGAGAACAAAATGAAGGACGCACAGAAATTTCCATTGATCTTGTATTTGGGGATGGCTATCATCACTGTACTCTACATCAGCCTGGGGAGCCTGGGGTACCTGCAATTTGGAGCTAATATCAAGGGCAGCATCACCCTCAACCTGCCCAACTGCTGGTATGTGGAAGGATTGGAAACTTCCAGAAGACTATGGGTTAGAATGTGGCTTTTTCTTGTCACTTTCCTATCCAGAGCTTGTGACCCTTCAGCAGC